GCGGGAGGGAGCCTATTCACGACCCGGAAACCCGCAGGGACCCGCGGATGTTTACCAATATACATGTTCAGGGCATCCTGGAGACGGTTTTGTCGATCGTTTAGGGCCTCTTGGGGCCTCATTTGGGCCCCTTTGGGGCCTCCTTGGGCTTCTGAGAGGGGCATCTGGTGGGCTTGCTGCCGGTCTCTGGAGTGAAGGGCTCGGAATGTCGGTTCGGTTTTCCCCTCGCGTGGGGTTTTCTTCGGGCCCTCTTGGGGCCGTCGTGGACAGTTGTTGGAGCCTCTTGGCTGTTTTGCGGCCCGCTTGGGCCGTCTGGCGGGGGGCTCTAGGGATGGGCATATTTTGGAATCTTCTGGGGCTGTCTTCGAGCGCCAGAAGCCCGAACCGGCGAGAATGTTAAAATCCTTCAAAACCCAACCGTACATCAATGATGTTGGCATCTTGGACGTCTTTTGGAGCATTATTGGGGCGTCTTGGCGGCCTCTTGGGCCGTCTGGAGGCCATCTTGGGCGTCTTGGAGCTCTCTTGGAATGTCTCGGAGCCCTCTTGGCCCGCCATGGAGGCATCTCGACCCGCATTGGGTCCTTTTACTTTTCCTAGGGCCCAGAAGAGGCGCTGTCGAGTTCCCACATTCCCACCCTCAAACGCGATTTTGGATTCAAAAGGGGGTAATGGGGGAGGTGGCAGCCAATTATCGCTCGCGCCTTCTCACCCCCTGGCAAGCGATGTTCGGCGGAGTCCACCATTCGGTGCATGAGCCGAACGTGTTGCCCCTTTCCCCCAGACTTGATGTCAGCGAATGCCGAGATCTGTCATAATCAAATGTTTTGGCCTCGTGCCAGTAGCACCATTGACGGAGGCGTATTTGTAGGAGGCATCACCGTTCTTATTTGACGAGAGAGCGTGGTGACCGAACTATATGGTGAACAAGCTCGGACTCTGGAAGCAACTCCGACGACTCGTGTTCATTGCGTTCCCCTACGTTCTACTCAGAGGAGGTCCCCATGCGTGGTACGTTTCAGTGGACCCTAATCTTGCGGGTTGCCCCCCTCCCCCCCTTGTCTGAGCGTTTGGGGCCAGAGTTTACGAACCAGGTTGAGCCATCCTGGCCAGCCCTCGTGTGTTAGTTGCACACTCCGCATCCCATTCCCATCCTCATCGTGTGCATCCCTCATCGTCCTGCTCGTCCCTTTTCCTCCTCCTACCAGCCCTCGAGGCCAAGCCAGCTCAGCTCAGCCAAGCCAAAGTGCTGGCCCGCTGTTACTGGCCAGGGCACTCCTTGCTTGCAGAGCGTGGCAAGGGCCAGACCGAGCCCACTCCTAGTGATGAGACAGATCCATCACAGAGTTGGCGCGCCGATGGTGTTTCTACTGTGTCGCTTCGCACCACGCTGGCCCGCACTCGTTTTCTCCGCCCTGTGACGCGCCGCACCGTGTCGCATCCCACTATGGCGCAGCGGGTCACAACGCAGCTCGTCACATCGCTCACTTGCGCGATCGGCACAGGACATGGCGGGCATGGTTGGGGCAGAGTCAGTTCGGCGCGCAGCACCGCACCGCACGGTCAGGCACGAATAGCGCAGCCAAGAACGGCGCGGTGCGACGGGGCGCGTTGCGGTGCCGCAGTGAGGCGGCCACGCAGTGCGTGAGGC